TTTGTATGGGGGTAAGCACTGGGTATACAAAGAGAAACCAGAAAGACTCCTCCAAAGGCCTCATACATTACGGTGTTCCTCCTATATGAATGTAAGTCTGCAAGCTTGCCTAAGGGTTTAGGAGGGATGATTCTGTGGCTCCGTCACGCAGTGGAAGAGAAGGAATACAATCAATTAATGATGTCTACCACAGGCACAGAGACTGGGTGTGAGAAAGAGGAATGACAAAATTGAAAGTGTGTCAAGAATGTTTTGCCACCCCTGATTTAGGCAAAAAGCTTGACGCTTTGTGTAAGTGTCATGTGAACAAAAGCCTGCCCGATACGTTAAAAGTTTACTCTACAGTGAACTGGTGTCCAGAAAATGCGTGTATAATCCCATAAAGGGCTTAGAGAGAAATGGCAAATATCTGCAATATAAATGCAGATTACCTTTATTACAAAGTTGGACCATATTCTCATTCCTAGACTAATTTCCTATATCATAAAACCTATATTCAATTTTATAAATAGCATACACCAAGAATCATAAATTCAGTTAATGCAGAAATTTAACAGATTTTTTTTTAATAAAAGTGAGAAAAGGCTGTTTTAGGCAAGTATCCGAAAAGACAGAAAGGGTTCTTTCTTTGAAGATATGTTTTTCCCTCTGACTTTACCTCCTTGGGGACATAACTAGGAAAGAAATAAATTTCACGGCTAATATATAGGAAGTAACATGTTTAACGTTATCCAATGAATTTATATCTACCTATACCATATAAATTTGTCTCACATAAACTGTCACTTCCAACAGAATTCATTAAAACAATGTTATAGCTTCTGACTTAAACGCAGTCTTCTAATTGGAATTTAATCTTACAACAGTAGTTGGTGGATTTTTTAAATTGACAAATGGAATAATTCATTAATTTGTCTTATAGCTCTGTCCGGAGAATGTAAAAGTAAATCTGACACAGACATTGGCTGGCCACTGCTCTGAGGGATGGAGGAGGGGCAGAGGCTCCTTCATCATCTGTGAATCTCACCCCCTCTGCTGTGCAGGAAGGAATGGACACTCCTTACCATCCCAAGCTACTGCACTGTTACTAATATATTCCATTACCTCCACATCAATGTCCCACTCATTTCTGATCTTCATCAAGCCAGACAATGGTTTCCACCACTGGCCTCTACCCAATTAGCTATATGGAAAATATTCAGCCAACTACATTACTTGTATTCACTTAGGAATTGGAGAGAAGCAAAATAAACGCCTTGAAAATACTTGGGAGAGAAAATGTAAGTTGACACTATCTCCGCACGCTGGAGCCCAAGTTATACAGTCTGATAGGCAGCTGCCAGCACTCATAACTGCTTATTAAATCTAGCCTCTCTTTATGGCGTGAGTGAGGATCTGTATTTTTACCAATATTAGGTTCATTGTGTTAGGAAAGAAACCAAAATACTTAAGATCATTCACTCCAGCTTATAAAACATATTATGTAGTTTATTAAATTGTTAAAATTACTTTTCAAAGTCAAAATTTCAGGGACTGGAAGTTTAAGTGCAACAAAGTGGCCTGGCCCACTGACAGGATGCAGCCCAAGGTGGCCAGCGGGCGACTCCTCAGCTGGCACTGCTGCCCCAGAGCACCAGCCAACTGCTCCCCCCTTTTCCCAGAAGTTTGCATGGCCACGACTGTGCCTCCAAACCAGTGACTAAAAACAATCCACTTTCTGGAGTTCTATTTTAAAAGCAAGGAATTCTCAGCCCAAAAGTTGCCTTTACCAAATCTGATGTGCAAACGGTGTATTTTCCCCTATTTCTGCCTCTTTCTAGAGGCAAAAGCTAAGAATTGTGATTGTGGGAAGAAAGAGAAACTATGCACAAATGAGGGAAAACAACTGTGGGCAAATCACACACAATGTTGCCACACGGTCCTTCTACCGTCTCACCAAACCCACCAACAGGGGACGGCTTCTCAAAAGGGACAATGCAGCGGCCCAGCAAAGCCTGACAGCCAGCACCTCCACCTCCCTCGTCAGCCCTTCTCAGGAACACTCTATGCAAATCCTGACTTATTATCACATTTATTAATAACACTGTGGCTAAACACCTACTAAATATGCAGCGGATCCAGCCACTCTTCCCTACTGGAATCCCATGATGTTTTTCATATAGGCACCAACTTCAAGTAGAGCTTCGCACCAGGGCAGCTGGAGGGGACTCTGCTGCTCTCCTGGTGAATGGTGGCAGTAAAGACCCAAAGTGCACAGACAGCCCTGCTTTCTGTTTCCTGCCCCTAAATTAATCGACTACCCAGGCATAATTATCACCAACATAAACTGAGTACATCACCCATTTTGCGACCGTTGCAATTTTTGGCAAAATGATCTATTTGTGCAAACCTTTCATCTCAGTTTCCCTGTATACCTGACTGAGGCACAGTCTGCTGTTCTGGCTGCCAACCCCTCTGACTCCGACCAACTCTACGGAGAGCGTTCCACTCAGAATTAGAGGTTATTTCAAGCCTGAAGACTCCAAATTATTAGCTGTAACAATTAATTAGAGCTTTTCTTGATTACTCAATAAACTGTGAAGTTCTAAAAGGTAAAGGACTATGAATGGATTCTTGACAATGGAAGGCTGAACAACCAATCAGATGCACAGGGCCTAGAAGGTTCAGGGTTAGTGCAGCACAGAAGGACGGAGTGAGTCCTTATCTAAATGTGGGAAAACTCTGGAGGAGGATAAACCATCAGAACCCAAAGCTCCAGCTCGTGTATTTCGGGTACCTCCACTTTCAACTAAAGATTCAGCAAAAGGAAGTTTATTACAGCCTGATAAATATAAAGCACTTCCTTTGAAAAAAATGGTATTCAATTAGGCCTAAGTACTATTTTTCTTCAAAAGAGGAATATTATAGTCCTTCAGACTGATTGCTTCAATAGTGGTCCTTACCTAGTTGAAATTAATGAGTAAGATGAGCCTACTATTCAATAAACCCATTCATGTGGTTTTGTTAAATTTCATGCATCAAGTTTTATGACAGTGAGAAAGTCAGATTCTCAATACAAAAGATAGAGGTGACAGGCCATCTACAGCCTGAGTTTGGTGCTACTTCAATAAAATTCCAAATTCTTCTGTGAGTTCTCATGTGCATATGAGATAAATTAAAGCTTTGTTCTCAACACTACCTGCATCCTCCAAGAAATAAATCTCCTTTACACGTATTCTCTGCTCACTGATCTACAGACCATTCACAAAAGCCTATTCCAGTGGCAAAGCACTGGAATCCTCAGAAGAACTTCACAGGAGAGGGAACCAACAGGCTTTCCCAAGGCCATCAGTGAAATAAATGATCCAAGAGTTCTCACACCTCTAACATCCCATGGTTCCAGCAACCATTTCTCTTCACTGTGGAAATCCTCACCTCATTGTGTTTCTGTTTGATATTTGCCTTGTCTCTTGCCAATGAAAGATTATTGTGACAAAGATAAAAGATTTTATTTTTTTCTCCATCTCTTATCTCCAGAAGAACAGAATAAAAAGTACAACGAGTCAGGAAACACAGTTGCCCATATGGAAGTGAACTTGAAAGCCAACCACCGTTATCTAAATGTGGGCTAGTTGCTTTACTAATGCTCCTTTTTTGTTTATGAAATGGGAGGGATTTATCCAAATGACCTCCAGCTATAAAATCTTTTAAAATCTGGCCCAAATACATACTGTGCCTGGGTACACAACAGTCAACACTACCCTCAAGATACGTTTATCATCTGAAGAGGTTGACTCTTGCGCCTCAATTTCTATGAATCAGATAAGCTAAAAAAAAAAAATCACTGATTGAGGACCAAATAATTGAGTCCACTCCTAACTCTACCCAGGCACTCAGCCCAGCTGAACTTCATGGGTGTTGGAAATGCCATTGTAAATTCAGGAGGCTCGGATAATTCCTAGGGTTTTGTCATTACTGACAGAGTAGGATTCTCTAACCTATATTCTTTTCTTTTTAATATAGAAATCAAAGAGAGACACTAATTTCCTGCATGTCAGATAAGTATTAGGTCTCCCAACTTCCGATAAAGGGGGTACTTTTTTTCTCCAAGACACTTCCTTTCATTAAACAGAATGTGTTTTGACTACAACAGCACTGAACCAAGATGAGCTTATTTATGTCAATGGCTGATACATGTCATTCAATGAACAAAACTTAAAATGAAGTAGTTCCCAATAAACTTGACCTCTCTGACAAAGCTACCACTGAGTGATGTCACAGTTCTATCCCAAAACACCTGGCCTCAACCAATTATTGTTTCTGATAAGGGCAAGTCACAGTGGCTCTTTACTACAGGGAAGCCATCAATTTGAGGGCCAGAAAAGGTGCAACTGAATACGAAAACCACTCATACCAGAAAAATATCATTATATCTCTTCTAACCCACTTTTAAAAGTTCAACATATAACCTGACCAGGCAAACTATGATAGAAAAAAATCCCCAGGATACCTTTGAGAACCCGGTCTCCAACTCTTCAGCTTTCTCACAAGGCCTACCACATGGAAGGTTTGGTTGGGACCCTCTCAAAGAACAAATGAGAATGACCTGGTCCCCAAAAGTCAAGATGAAGTAATTATTCTTATGCTTCATGGGTTCATACTGTCACCAGTTGTGAGAGGCTCAAAAAAGCAAGTACTTGCCAGGCCTGGTTGCACACACTTGTTACCCCAGCACTCTGAGAGGCTGAGGCAGGAGGATCATGAATTCAAACCCAGCCTGGGCAATTTAGCAAGAAATTGTACCAACACTTTAAAAGTGGCAGAGAGCTGGAGATGCAGCTTAGTCAAAGGCCATGTGTTCAAATTCCCCCATCACGAAAAACAAAAACATTTGTGCATGTGGTCCATCAGTTAAGACATTCTGCCCTTCAGAGGAGAATCTCTCACCCTCTGTGTACACTGCCCTCATGGACTTGTTGTCTTGGGACTTTTCAGATGAATAATCACCAACTTGCACTCACCCTTTTGGCTCTCAGGCATCACATCCATCCACTCATGACTGACGGCAAATCGAAGAAGGGATCGAAGCCCTCACCATTGCCAGAACTTTTTGTTCGGAAACCGGAATTGTCAGCAGAAGCGCCTGGGACACTACAAAACAAAAACATTTTTTACACATAACTAAGATGTAACTTGTAAAACCACCACTTCCTTAAACTTGAAAACAGCAAGACACACATAGAGTCTAGAGGTGGGGGAAAGCACCTTCCCAAAGAGGGTATGTCAATACAGTTAGTGCAAGCTGCCAAAGAGGACCGGAAATACTGTTTGCAAAAGGTTCGCTTGACTTCAACACATACACAGTAGGGCTCTTATTTACTGTGGACTTTGTACCACATATTTTAAATACTTCAGCAGTATAAAAGTATCATATCCCGTTATACAGGGTTTGGGTAACAACGGCCCTGTTTTCAGGTGTTAACACAAATCTTGGACAGACAGACGTACCATCTCTATTAAGTCATGACCTTCTCCAGAGGATAAGAAAAAACACGGATATGTTAATATCAATGATCTGAAATTACTTTTAAATAATAATGAAGGCTAAAACTAGTAAGAGAGGAAACCATTGTGTTTTTTTGTCCTCCAAAATAATCCTATTTTATTCTAAAAATAGCTCTGAATTCCACAAAGATCAATACAATGCAGCTATTTCCATCAGGAGAGAATACGCCATGGAGTGGTCAGGGATTAAGATTGGGAAGACTGAACCCTGGCCTAGGTGTAGTCACCGTTCAACTTGGTGGCCCAGCGGAGTCATCCGACATCTCGACATTCCTGCGTCTTCACTTGCAAGGTCAGGGCACTAACTCATGCTAACAAGGTCCCACCCCCCTCTACTCTCCGCCTTCTTTGATAAAGCGCACTTACTCTCACCTGAACTACTGGCTTCCTCTTTAAGCCTCCTGCTTAAAAAGAGGATTGCACCTTGAGTTACTCATGCTGAACTGCCACCAACACCAAAGACAGGCTGTGGGCAGAGAGTTCTGCAAGTGCTAGTAAGGGTTCTCACACTGGCACTAGGGCCCAGGCTGGTGAGCTGGCTCTCTATGGCTAGCAGCCTTCACTGAGTGCCTGTGGAAGGCTTCCACTTCTCTCCAGAAAGCATAGCTCCAACTCTTATGGAAATATGTCCAAATGGAGTCTAGATTAATGCTTCTTCAACTGTAATGTGCAGAGCATCACTTGGAGAGATTTTCAAAATAGAGATTCTGGGCCCCCCTCCCAAAGACACTCATTCAGACTTGATTCTGGAATGGGGCCTGAGATTCTGCATTTCTAGCAAACTACCAAGTGATGCTGTTACTTACTGCCAGGCATGGACCACGCTTTGAGGCCAAATGCAAAGACTCCAAACACCCCTGAGGCCCAAGAAGCATTTTTAAGGCCCCAAGGGGCTCCCCAAAGCTATGGAGTCTGTGTCACAAAACAAAATGAACCGGGCTTGGGTTGTCCACTATCTTTTAAATACAATCCAAACTTCTTTCCGTGGCCTAAAAAGTCCTACATAATCTGGTCACTGTCTACTTCCTTGATGGGACCTCAAATCACCAACCCAATGCCTAAGTACAACCAAAGCAGATCCACTGGCTTCTGTCTGCTTCAAGGAAGCACATTTTCCTGCCTCAGAGCTTGTGTCCTTGGGACTCCAGCATCGCAGAAGCCAGAACCTACTCCTTACCCAGGTGGCTCTTCTCATCGTGGGGTCCTGGGGACATGAGACACATCAGAGCCTTGTCCTCCCTTACTTCAACTGCATAGTCTCATTTGCTTCCTTGGGATCTCTTGGCATAATCTATAAACTCTAAACTTTTCTACTGACCTATCTTCTCCACTACACTATGAACTCCCTAAAATAAAGGAACTTTGTTTTTGCTCATCACTATACTCCAAAACTTCAGGCTCATGGCTGGCAAGCAACACAAACTTTCAGACTCAGAGAATGAATCAAAGATTAAAAGAATTAATTTTTCATCAATCTCTAAAAATATAATTGCCATTTACCGAAAACTTACTAGGGGCAAGACACTATTTTAAGGATTTTACAACGGTTATTTCATTTTAGTCTATGCATACAGCAAAGTTCCTACTAGATATCACATTATCAGCTCTACATACAGAACACTGAGGCACAGAAAGCTTTAGCAGCTTGACTCTATCAGCTTGTTCTTATAAGAAATTTGCATTTTTCCAGCCACTGTACTAAAGCAGAAATGCTGAGTGCCTGACTCCTGCCCTTCCAATTCAGGCTTGCTCAGTGAGCTGTGGCTGTGAGGCCTGCAGAAGACACTTAACCTTCCTGAGTGAAAACCACGACGGCCAGGCAGATGGGCAGAGGGGGCGGGGTGGACTGAGGTGGCAGGAACAGGAAAGGAATGAGGTGGACTGGAGAACCCTGCTTTCTCGGGTTCACCAAGGAACACACCCTCTGGTCTCCAAAAGCTTCCAATTCTACAGACAAGGTCAGCAAGCCAGATGTCAATGTAATGAAATTTCAGAATTTTTCAAAGATGGCACCTAATTTTTTGATAATTTACATTTATAAAACAACTTGCAACCCTGAACCAAATTATCCCCAGAATCACTCCCTGCCTCCAGTTCTGTGCTCCTAGAGCAATTCAGAAACACACAGGAGCGATGCAGCGACAGCAGCAAGGAGACAGCAGGTACCTGGACAGAGAAGGGCTTCCCAGAAGAATTCTCTTGAGCAAGCTGTGTAAGGAGTTGGAAGACGAAGAGGAGGAAACATTGCACAAAGTCAGAATAGCTACGAAAAGGCATGGGCGTGTGTGGTAAGCAAACACCAGCCAAGAACAGCGAGTGGCAAAAGAGAGCAGGAGATTTCTGTAGGAGGTTAATATTCCTAATGGATTAGAGCACTGGCAGGTTTCTAACTAAGATGTAAACTGGTCAAGCAACGCTGCAATTGGTAGTGCTGTTCTGCCTGACTTCCAATATGGTTAAGTAACTAGGCATCTCCAAAAATAAAAGACCAGTCACCACTGGGGCTTGTGGAATATTTTTGTTTTGTTTTTATGTGTGTTTTGTTGAGAATCCAACAGAGGCAGGACTGAATTCCATCTTCAAGCGACTCTATAACTAGCCAAAATATTTAACCGCTCTGAGCTCTAGAAAGGAAAAATACAGCAACTGAAATAAAGAAAGACAGATATCCATATAAATTATCCAGAACACAGCCCAGGGGCAGAAGCTGTCTACCTGGAACTCTATACTCAGAAAAACTACCTTTCAAAAATGAAGGTGAAATAAGAGCTTCTCAGACAAAAAGTTTATCACTTCTCTATATGGACATTCTAAAAGACTTATTTCAGGCCAAAAGAAAATGATTTCAGAAGGAAAGTTATTTGATTTAAAAAAGGTAGGAAAGCCAAAGTAAGGGGGAATGTGTGAGTCAATACATTTGTAAAACAATGTACATACAGGTTTTAAAATTTAAAAAGAGAGTTCTAGAAGCACCAGGTCTGCTTCCTACTCCCAGCTCATTAATTTACACTGCAGCAACACCAGTCAACAAGGCCGCCAGCTACAAATGAAACCTGCAGCACCAGTTTGAAATGCGGACGCCTGTCCTCCACAGCACAGAGGTGTTCATCCAGGTGCCAGAAATCTCCGTTTCTCCCAGATACCCAAGAACTCCAGTTAAGATCTTATGACCACTGGACAGCCATCTGACCACCTCAGTCTTTGTTCTTTTCCGCTTCAGCACGGCCCCAGGAACATGCTGGCCCAGGAAGTCCTGGTAACCCTGCCTCAGACCTGCTAATCAAGAGCTGCAATAAATTAAAAGCCCATTAAAATATTTTAAAGAAAAGCCTAGAAGTGCTAAAGCATTCATTGTGCCATATTCAATCTGTTTTCCTAGAGATTTGAAAAGCCAGATTACCATCCTGGGGGTCATTAGAAAGAATGAAGCTCTCTCCCGTTCTCATTTACATATTTAAAAATGCATACATTCTGGCAGTGGTCACTAAGTCCTTGCCAAGGCGTTCCAAGTCCTGTGGCTACTCCAAATGCCACAGTCTAGCCACAGAGAAAGAAACCTAGACTACCAGAGGCCTGCCTTGTTTTTTTTTAAAGCAAGGGAACCAAAAGCCCAGGGCCTGTGGTTGCAAAACAGCTCCGGGAAAACAGGTAAAGACAGCAACAAAACAACAGTGATGTTTTCTTGTTTTGTTCTCCCCTGTTTATTTTTCCCCAGAGCAGTCGTGCTGGTACAAAAGTCTGCAGGGAGCTGGAAAGAGCAGCTGTGGTTCCCTGAGGCCAGGACCTAGCAATCAAGTTGTTTACCAAATACTGCCAGGCACCGGGAAAACAACAACAGCACAGGCAGCTAGCGCATCTATTTTTCAAAAACAGCCTCCCAAAGTCTGTAGCTGCCTGGAACTTCCCGCATAGCTGAGGGGAAAACTCAGAGAAGAAGGAATGCACTGCACTGGGTACTGACCCCCACAGCCTAAATATAATCCACGACTCCCTTTCTAGGGAAGACAGCCTATCCTAAAAAGGGAGGCCGCAGGTCTGGAGAATTTCAAGCAATGGATTGATACGAAAGGGCATTTCCAAGCATGCTACTACTGGAAATGTCATATGCTAAGTCTCTGGCACCTCCAAAGACATCCAGCAATGGTTTTTCATCTTGCTCAAGCAGGAGTGCTCAGGAGGGTTTCCAGGACAGACTCCCAGGCCCCTCCCCCAGGGTCTCATTCAGTAGCCCCAAGATGGAGCCTGGGAATTTCCTGCAAGCTCCCAGCGGATGCTAGGATCCCACTGTGAGAACGAAGGCTCTAAAGCTGGATGCTACCTGGCCTTGCCATCCTGGAGATCTGGGAGTTTGTTTTCCACCTCGACCTGTCTGTCCCGTGGATCATCTGCGAGTGTGGCAGCTAAAGTGCAAAGGCGTAATGCATGGGATAGTTTTCCCTTTGCTTCAGGATTCTGCTCTGCCATCCACCTCCCAAGGCTGCCTCCAGCTGGGTTCACCAATGGAATCTTTCCCAA